TTGAACATACTGGGCGTTGCAGCCGCAGGTACCGTTTCGGTCTCGATGCGCATCGTCCGCTTGAATCTCCTTGCCGGCGTCATCAATAAACCCAAGTTCGTGGGTGACTGCGCGGCCATTGCTTTCCGGAACTCTGTAGGTGTTTGGGGCGCGTTGAAGCTTGGAGGCTCTGGGTCGGCCTTGCCTGGAAGTGGCGCGAATCTGGCCGTCTTCTCCGGGGTTTTTGGAGCAGTGCCCCTCGCTGGAGCTGGGGTTTCGGGAACCGTGTCGATCTGCATGATTGGCACGTGGCGGTACACGGAGCCCGTTTGGCTGAGTACGTGATCTTGCTTTCGTCCGTCGTCGTTTGGATGGGGTGCGGTGGGATAGCGTGAGAGTCGATGGGAGTTGGATGCTCGATGATGCAGTTGGCTTTCCCCATCAGGAAAGCAACACGTTGGCACCCACAATAGCTCACCCCCTGTGTGCCTGCCTGAATATTGCAATGGCAGGCACGCCACTATGACGGACTTGGCAGCCTGGGAGTTGGAAGGAGCAGAACTGACACGGCAGGAGGAACTAGACGCGCAGGACCCTCCGTGACGTAATCGCCTGCGAGAAGGAAGGAGCGACGAACAAGCTTCAAGCCTGCCCATACCATTGTAGCGAGCAGGCCCCCGAGCAACATGCCAGCAAATCACCCCTCGATGAGGAATTGAAGCCTGGCGAGCTGGGGGGATCTCGTGGGCATTGCGGCATCCAGGATCGGCCCGACTACCAATAATGGCGCAGAAAGACAACCATTAGCCTCATCGCTATTGAGAGATTTGAAGGCTTGGATTGCGTAATATGGAATGTCGGTACTTTGAATGCCGCACACTCCGGGTTGCTCGACCAGGACTAGGGAGTCGACGGCTGGACTATCTCACCCCCAAGCTTCATTATCGACGTGCAAGAATGCGGCTATCTCGTTGGATGGCGAGCGGGGCTATCCGAACAGCCCGGCCGTTTCTTCGTCGAATACTAGCCAGCTTCGGGGTGGGCAGCCAAATCGGCCTCCTTGGGACAGGCCCCACGGACTGCATGGTATAATTAGGTATGATGGTTGAAGGAGCTCAAACAGAAAGTCCAAGAGAGCATGACGCAGGCTGCATAATTGGCACAGCCGGCTCTCCCCGCGATCTAATTTTGTCGAAATGTGGCTTTTAAAGCCTTGCATCGCTGCTTCACGCAGTCTTTTCTAATAGCAAGCTTGCCGTGGATTACATATTCGAAGTCTTGTCATCTCCTCCCTTTGCGCTGTCTCACAGTCAAAACTCTTTCGTCTGACCGATTGCAGAATTATAGCAGAGACAAACGCATGCCGATATTCAAAAAACGCCCTGATGAGAGCTGATACAATGACCGCAGGCCCAGGTTTCTAGCTCCTTAAAGCATGATCAAATCGATCTGATCTTCAACAATAAAATAGCTTGTTGCTCACCAGCCAAGTAGCCCATGTTTGCTCGATTGATTTCTCTCACCCACACCAAAGAGACCACTACCTACCTAAGACCATGAATGCGAAATGAAGAGAAAGCTACCAAGCCTTGCAATTATACCCTCCTCAAAACGAAGTATCAGCCGCCCCGCTCATGACCGTGCCTCTGCGATCGCAGCGGGCATGGTATGGCCGGACGCCTGTGAAAAGATTGGGCCGAACTATGCCAGAATATATGCCTCAACGAATTGCCTTGGCTCGCGCTATCTACGCTGCATGTGCAGGGCCTTTTAATCCCTTAAGTAGTACTAGGAACGTGGCCGAGAGGCTGAAGGTGGCGAGTCATTAAATCGTCATACGGCTAAAAGGCGTGACGACATGGAAGGTTTGAATCCCTCCATCTCCGCCAGAGTGCTCAGATTCATGTATGCCCGGTCGCTGCCCACTTACGAGCGCCCACTCGTCCACTGAACCAACCTATATACGGAATCTGAGCTGGAAAATCGCGTTTATCCATGCTGGCATCAGCGAGAATACCACTCTGAATCTCTAGGATTCAAGCCAAGTACAGAGAGCTCTGACGACCACGTCGGTGCAGGAGGGGCGACTTAGCTGTCCGCGATGCCGAGCCATTTCAGTTGAGCTGGAAGCACCGCCCAATGCGCTCTCGTTCAGCCGTCGAGCTTCTCCCCGGTGCGATACCACAATATCAGGGACCTGCGTGCGCGCAGCGCCAAGAGGCCAAGGACGGTGTAGCTCCAGGTCACTCGTCATGGGTACCCTATTCCAAGGACAGGTTAAGGTGACGCTGATACATGTTCTCTTCAAGATCTCGTCAGAGTCAATTCGCCGCCCCGCGCGACGGAGCGTGTGATGGTGCGAATGCCCCTCGCACCGGCCGACGGCCGAAGTTAAGTGGACCTGCACCATCCCAGCCCGGACGGTCCATGTGGGCCCGACTCGAGCTGGACCAGGTCTTGTGCTGCTTGGTGAGAAGCTGGGAGCGCATTCTCAATGGTGAGGTCCGGCTGAAGTTATATACTGCCAACCAAGCCGCGCCACCGTACGCGTCAGGTTCATTGCCTACCGATGACGGTCGTGCACTGATGTTCACGGCCCTGTGCCCGGCATCCGGCGGCGCAACTGACATCGACAAGGCGGTTTATTTCGTGTGTACTGTTCTCTGTAACGGTAAAAAGACACCCTCACCCAGATCAAGGGACTCCAGACCTTTCAGGGGGATAACGAGCTTTCACCTGGGCGGAAAGATGGAGGAGACTGAAGACGAGTGGTTGAAACGAGAGATCGCCGAGATGGAAGCTACTTAGAAGGATGAAAAGAAGCGTGAAAGAGGATATTATGAAGAGCGACGAAAAGAAAAGGAAGCAGCTGTAGAGACAGGCTGAAGAATCTTGCAAATAGGACGAAGAGATGAGAAGCCAGCAACAGGGAGCTGAGATTCTTGAAGAACAACCCAAAAACGAGCGTGAGGGACAAATTGGGACCTCAAAAGGAGTCGAGATGTCTTTTCGCCTGGTTGAAGAAGCCTAGTCTCAGTTCTGGTGTTTCACTGATTTGGTACAAAAGTCTACCTTCCGAGCAGGCTGAACCGACTAAGCCTGCTGAGCCATCACTTATGCTATCTCCAGCTCAGCCTGTGGGTTTCGTGACTTACGGCCGGTCTTGAAGAACCCAGAAATCAAAGCCAGCTAATCCAGAAGAGGATGCGAGTTGGATGCGAGTTGAGTTGACAGAGCTCACACCTGCCACGCAAACACTCGAGTCTGCCTGCAATTTGCAACTCCAGGAAAACGCAATTAGCCCAGATGGCTTCAAAACGCTGGGCCCTGTGCTTGATGTCAATGGTACCCCAAAAGGTAGCAAGCGCATGCGATAAGGACATACTCGCCCGGTTCCAAAACATGTACAAAGAGAAATCTTCTGTCGACTACGATCTGAAGGTCCATTATACCCTCAGTCCTAGTGACGAGCCTGGTTCCAACCCACCGAATTGAGTATATGCACCTTCGCTTACTTTAAGTCGTGCAGCATCTGGTCGTTCAATTCAACCAATTCCGAATTTTGAAGGGCCTATTGGCAACCTTGGAAGTCAGCCTTCCCAAACTTCCCTTCGGGCATAACTTCAGATGGGAGCTTAGCGGTATCCCCAGGGCAGCGACCCAGAATCGGCGCCTTGCCCTTGGGAGTTGTTCCAAGCCAGGTTGATGGAACGTCTCTCCGCTGACTGACCTGAATCATTTGAGGTCTTCACACGCTATTGCCAACATGATTACTGCGCCTCAGCAATTAGGTGGACGTGGTAGGCATACACCCCGTGATCGAGTAGCAAGTATGGCACTGCGAGTGGATCTGGCTTATTGCTGTCAGACGACGTCCGCCCCCAGCATATCGGTTATAAAAGCCTTCTTACGCGGGCTCATCAGTAGCTCTGTCCCTCAGAGGCATCAGGTTGAACCTTTGACAGCTAATTGTCAACAAATCATAGGCCAAGTCTGAGTGGAAATATGCATAAAGAAGTTTGAAGATTTGCCACGATGGCCGACACACTTCCACCCGCAGAAACCCCGCCCATATGGTGACCTCGGTTATGGTAAACTTGTTGAAGTATTTGTTGGTGTAGGCTTCGCAGCTCACTCCGGAAAGGTTCAATTTTGGCGCACCGCCACTATGCCCAGATGGCCGACGATTTGTATCCAGGCCACAGTACTGAACATACTGATGACTATCGGCGCATCATCGCCGTTGGTAAGTGTCCGCCCTACCGACTGAGCCTGGCGAGGGTAATCTCAGATAGTCCTAGTTGATCCAGGTGGTGGCGAGCTGGGCCACAACAGCCTCTTCACACCCCCAATCGCCACCTATACCTGGCCCCCACCTGGTCGATACATTTGGCTTCAGCCTTTTTACTACTGTGTGTTTATGGTCAGCTTAATTAGGCCCCAGAGGGCGTTTGACGTGTCAGACCGAAAGACCAAAAGCCAGACGCCAGAGCTGAGGATCTATTGATCTACTTGCCGTCCTTTAGCACCACTCTGTCGAACGTAGGGAGTTCCAGCTAGAGAACTCAATTAAGAGTCTGGACCGTCGCCCAGTTTACTCTACGGTTTTGAGATCCAGCTTGGTGCAGAACGTAGTCAAGCTGTTCATGGAAGGCCCTGCACCAACGAAGCAGTGCAGAACCGCCGTATACCTAGAAGTGTTCCAGGATGCAGCTGGTCGCAGAATTGCGATGAGTCGGCCTTGCTTGAAGCTTAGTGCTGCGACGGCTTTTTGGGCTGCTGCGGCGGCGAGGGTGTAAGCTTGGATACATAATCCGCGGTCTGCCTTTTCCATCCAGGCGTAGAGTTGGTGGCCGATGTGTCTTGCGCGGTGGTATGCTTCGGCCGGCGCGGCATCTTGAATTTTGCATCGGAAAGAACTGGGGGTTTATGTTTTGCTCTGCTGCCGCGATGCGTGTGCAATGTATTAGCATTTGTTGGTCTGTGGATCGAATTTCGTGACCGTTGATGTTGACTTGTAGTCATTTTTCCTGGAGCTGTTTGATCATGCGGCCCTTGCGGGCTCCTTCGTCACTGATCTCACTCATAATCATCGCATCTTCCTTCATAGCCATGCCATCAACTTGGATTGTGCCAGAGATCGTGGATCCACCTGCTAAGACACTGCAGTCAATACCAAAGGGTGCCACGTTGCCAGAGGTACTGGGCAGCCATGCGAACAAGAAAGTTATATGGGCTGTTTTCGCAGCGATAGAAAGGTCCATCCCGGCCTTCTCGCACACCGACGTACGCAGATTGTCTCGTGGAACGGGGCGGATATCCTGTTCCGTACCAATCCAATCTTCGTATGCTTTGAGATTTGTCGATGTAGGTTCTCCCAAAATGGCGAGGGAGAACGGCAGCTGTGCCGCCTGGGATTGCCTTGAGACCTGCCGCAAATCCATTGTTTGCTTCGCTCGGGTAATGACGGTCGCTTCATGCTGAGCATCAGGAAGTGGATGACGGACGCGTTACATGCACGTATGGGGCTGAACTCGTCGGCTTTCTTGTTTGTTGTTTTCAACTGCCGTCTTTAACTGTTCTGCCATGAAGCGCAGCTCTTTGTAGAGCTTAAGGGCTTTTAGCAATCGCATCTTGATACGGTATCGTGGACCAGACTTCGCAGCTTTTTGAACTTGGAGTTCAATGGCCCGCAGAAGAATGGAGCCATGATAGAGGACCGCAGTGCTTCTTTCCGGGCATCAAGCTCGGTCGGCGTCGCAGAGCCTTCAACGGAGTCCTTGACCCTCTTTAACAGCGCTGAGAATGGCAAGAAGAATTAATTCGGACCTCGTCGATGATGACGCTCTCGATGCACTTAGGTGTCGTTCGTTCCAGCTTGAGGCCCTTGACCGGCTCGAAACAGAGGACATGCGCGGCCTCAGCGTAGCACCGAATGGCCAGGGACAGACTCTCAAGTGTGCCTTGTTGGAACCAGTCATATCTAGATACGAAGAGTATCTCGGCGTACTTCAAAATAATCCACTTCGTATACGCCTGTGGTCGACCACGAGCTGCGTCGTGAACGAGTTGGCCAAATGAGTGACTTTCCTTGATCGCGAGCTCGATCTTTGCTGCCACCATCTTCAGATCAGGGCACATGTCACTGGCCTCGACGATTCACTTACTTATGTTAAGAAAAGAAGGAAATCGCCAGCTTGATTTCGTCACAGTCTTAATCGCTTCGCCCAATTGAGGGTCGATCTGAACTCGTCGTACATTGGTGTCAACGATACGATCGAAAAGGAAGCCATCGTCGTATTATTGCGTAGCGAGGAAACGATTGGTCGCGGTCATGGCAGCTTAGATGCTAAGCTCATTGCTGTAGAGCGTAGACGGGACCGCAAGGTCGAGGTAGAAGGTGCCATCGCCAACGAGGCTGAAGTTGGTACCCAACTGTCCGAATCAAACAGCTTCTACAGTGTTGTAGATGCTCCCGAGGAGAGCAAAACCATTCACAGCAGTCTCCATGCGGCTTCGTGAGAAAGGGTGGCTCATAGGAATAAGTGCCATGTTGCTGGCAATCATTTCTTGCGTCCAAGACGTAGACTGGTGGTCCTTTCCTGGCACTTCGCATAAGCAGACATTGAATCTGTCTGCGTGTTCATCATCAGTCCAGTGACCTGTTTGGGAGTCTTGAACAGTGTCCGCTTTATGTCCGACTTAAGCTGCTTGATTGTGCTAGGCAGCCAGGTGAGAGGTGCTGTTTTCTTGTACTCTACGCCTGGCATGAAAAAGGAGGACTTCTCCCCAGTAAACTTGCCGAGATGCGTGCAGAATTCAAGGGAAGAGACGGCAATGTCTGTATCTTAGCAAACAATACCCTGATCTGTCGAAACGTCGATAAAACCAGTCAACTATCCTGTGTGTGCCATTCCAGGTTCATAATTGAGAAGGACCCCGAGATGATTAGTCTAGAAGATTATAGCCCGGCGAAATTGTCAGGCAAATAAGAGGAGCCTCGTGGAGGTAGTTCCACAGGCTTATACTTTGACGCTGGGGATCTCAGCTTGTCAAACAGGACATTATGAGTTAAGACTCGCTTCGGGGTACATGTTCCTCTGACAAACTCGCTGGTGACCGCCTACTGCTGTCTAGGCTCCTGAACGGTCACAGCGATATGTCTCATCTGTGTTCATGCTTATGATTGAAGGCCAGTTTTGAATCCTGGCTTGTGTTCACAGTCTTGACGATGACTTGAGGGAAGAAGACGTACAGCGAGGCTTCTTGGAAAATTGGAACGAAATATGCCTCGCTGCCCTGCAGACGCGTCGAGTCCCAGTTGTCCTCGATAGAGGGCAAGTCAATCTTTATCTTAGTCCAAGCTTCCAGAACACAACACTGTCGGAGTGATAGCTTATTAGGATCCTAAAGTAAACGATTTGTAGAGCTGCACAGGTACCTCCGAACAAATGGAAGGTCTTCTCTACCACCAGATGCAATTCACAAAGATATGAGACAATTTCCAGACTGGAGATGCTGTTGATGTAGTATGATAAGTCCTGCACCGCCCCAGGAAACTGATGACGCTCAGATGCTATTGCATGAGAATCGTCTCCAGCTTCTCAAAAAGCTGACTATTGTCACCGTTCAGTAACGGCTTGAGCCAGATTTTGAGGAACAGAATAATCTGCGATACGCCTCACACGAGAGAACTGTTGCATCCAAGTCCACTGTCTCACGTGGAAACATGTCTTTGGCGATGTCGGCTTTCATACCCACTTTCATACCCAGGAAAAGCTGCTGCACAAAGAGCTGGACCACTGAGATGGCTTGTTTGATTCGCAATGTGCATGTATGAGGCCCCATCTCCACGTCGACGAGGAAGATTTCAGATAGGCCATCGGCATACACGATGATGAGCTCATCACGAGCCTTCGCCTACCTCAAGAGGTACTCAACCAGAACTCTTCGCGCGTTCGGGTTAAGACAGCGTTAATGCCCGTCCTTAGAGAGTGAGTAAGGCTGTCCTGAAGCGTAGTAGCTATTTTGAAGTGGCTCTTGCTAGAGGAAAGGGGATGTTGGAATTGTTGAGATCGAACAAAACAAACATATTCGGCAGTACTCCACCAGATATGGCGTTCTACAACTCGTCATTGAATGGGATGATATTAACAAATCCCAAGAACGCCTCGAATTGTTTCAAGCTCGACATTATGTCTCCGGCTGGCAAGCCAGAACATTTAGCAGCGATATCATTGAGCGTATGAGAAATAATCAAACCTAGCCAGCCCACTAATGGAGCAGGACTATCAATTTTGCTTGTGACTGATTGACGGAGTTGGCAAGATCTGATCAGGCGTCTGCCGCGGCTAAGCCGTATGTGTTGTCCTGCCTGAAATCGGACATTTCAGCAAACTAAAATTAGGTAAGAAATCTAATATGACCACTCAGTACATCTTAAGTAAAGCAATGAATTGGACACAAACAGTAAACTTTTCACCTCAGCCTTAAGCATCAGCGGCCGAAAACGTTTTGGCTTGGGCTGTCAAGTCAGCCAATTTGAGATCATCGAACTTAGGACTAGTATCTGGTCGACCTTGTGGCAGTTGAGAATCATGTACTGCAGTCCCTCGGTCTTCAGACGACCATGAAAAGATACGTGATACGCTTGATGGCATATATGATTGTCGCTGCGCTATGTGCAATGCTGACCGACTTGGAGACATTATCTGAAAACGCTGTCGAGCTGGACTTTGGATCCGACCATGACACTGCTTCGCACTGAAGCTTGCCTTGAGACGGTTTTATTTTCCATCAATCAAGCGGAATGGCGTGACTTACTGGGCACATGTGGCACAAACTACATCTATGCTATCCACGGACAATCTTATATGTGCTCGACCCTCGTCAGAAGGGCCAGTGTGCGTCAATGTGCAACTATCGCTCGTGGGTGCTGCAAAGTAGGCATCCGACCGTCAGATGTTGATGCGTCGTTGTGGACGTGCTTGAGACCATGCCAGGCAGAAACGACCGCCTGCTCAGATTGGGTGTCTATTGCTTGCACCTTGATAATGTCCGCCAGACGGGGAAGGCTGATGACGGAGCCTGCTTTGGCAGTGACCTCTTGACCGTATTGACGAGGAAGGTCATCTGTAGGACTTCATTGATGCCCGGAGAGGCCACTTTGATGAACTCGGATCTTCTGCGGTGAAGTTGCATTCTTTATTCGAGACTGACTTGCTCTGCCAGTCTGGCGTCCTCGGTCGCCTTAGCATACACAGCTGCATCGTCATTGAATGTGAATGTAGACGTGCCCTGGTTGCTTCCGCCTGAGGCTGGCGTCATGGTCCCTATGGTCGAGCTACGTGTTGTGGTTTTGAGAAGGAGCGCAAAGGCATCAGAGATCTTCTGTGCCAATGGAAACTTTTCACAGATAGCGTCAGGTATTGCCACAAACCCCGGAGGTGGAGGCGAAGTTAGTTTCCAGCAATGCAATAAATTGGATAAGGGATGAGATGTTCTCCTTGCTCTCAACTGTCCATCACATCCGAGGCGCTTAGGACGGTCTTAGGTAGGCCCTCAGGAACCGGCTGTTAAAATTTCTGGGCCGCCGTCGAGATTTCGAGCGCTAGGCAAAGTCCCGCGAATCAGGCCCTTTGTGTTCCCCTTGTCATAGCGACCATATTTCTCTGACCTTTCTGGCCGAGTGTGCTTGCCGACGACTCGACAGTCCAGCCAGGGTCGAGAAGCAGTTCTAAATTTTCAATGACATTGACTGTGCACATTGGGTCTGCCGGAACAACCGGCCTGATGTGAGTATAGACGACTTCAAAGAATTCCTCGCAGCTCTTTCGGGGGCACAGAGAGTACAAGATAAATGGTAGCGTGTCAACACAGTGCAGTGAAAACGCCAATATCGAGATTTTGGTCTCGACTCTTAGAAGCAGCTGCGAGCTGGTCGAAATTGAAAGCCTGTACCAAACATCGATCATGTGGTTTCTGACAGCCTCTTGAGTACTTTTGGCAGTCAAGTACTTTGCCGACGGTGGTGTCATTTATGTGTCAATGAGGGAGTACATGCCGTCGATCTGCTGGAGGCGTTTTGTCATGAATTCGCGATGGGACAAGGACTTATTCCCAAAGTTGTTGATTGGTGTCCATCCCTCACATCAATACAAGAAAGCTTGCTCAGTCTTGAAAGGGCCACGATGCCGCTCACCACAAAGGAAATAATACAGACGAATTCTGCAGAATTGAAGGCTGTTACCTCGATGGGGTGAAACAATGGAAGTGGAAGTAGCCCCTTTTGGGTTTACTCTGCTCAAGGGAGTCCTTTTAAAAAGCATCTTCACACTTCTCCTTAGGTTTCTTGACAACGATCTGGGTGATGGGCGGTGGAAGAACGGGCTTTCCAGTGCTACGAGTGTTGCCCACGATGGATAGCTCAGGTCCGCGGAAAATAACTATTGTAGCATTAGTGATGATAATTGACCAGGAAAGCTTATTCTGAAGCCGCAGGACTGCCTGCAGGGAAAAGGAAAGCGTAGTATTGAGAAGCTGGTGTGGAGGAGCAGCTGTAATTGGCTGAAGCAATAGACCCTCAGCCAATGGGCCAAACTGCAATAACCCCAGTGCGTTGGTGATGATGAGATATTAGCTGAGGCAAGGGGTCTTGCCGAGTTCAAGAATCTCCTCGAATTCAAGCCCTGATCTGAGCATGGGCTGATTCTTGACGACGCAGAAACCCCTGAAAATATCCAGCATGATCGCCTCGGTGTCAAAGCCTCAGAGAGAAGCAATGTTATCAGAGCATGTATTTACAATGCCCAGAGCTACTTGGGAGAGACTGCTCGCACAATAAGCATGGGCGTAGGTACCCGCTCATTCTCAGTCTGCTTAGGTTGGGCGCTGTGTTTCGCTCAGCTTGGTTAGCGAGGTCGCCTTCCGACGCATCGATCTTGGATGCGTCCGAACAACTAGAAGAACGTTTTTGGGGTGATGATGCGTAAATCAGTTTGCCGGAGTCCCAAATTTTCTGCAGCGAGGCGGTGCTTGAGCGCTCCGTCGCATCACTGAGGATAGTTCAATCGAGCCGATCGCCAAGGGAGCCCGTCGACCGAGGTGAATAAAATCAAAGAGACGCTGAGGGTACCTGAAATACGCGAGGGAAACGGACGACATCGAGCTGATAGGCCCTAAAGACGGCGCCCTCGATGTTGCTTGCCAGATCATAGGGGAAACTCGTGAGTGGGTATGTGGCCTCTGAGACTAGCTTCCTGTAGACGGGGTAATTGGTGTTGGATGGATGATATTGCGTCACAGGGCCGGCGTTGGTAGGCTCTTGACCCTCTAAGAAGCAAGTCGGGGTTCGATATGAATGAATGAACACCTCAGACCTGGCGGACGGCGTAACGGCTTTCGGGGCAACGGATTGGACGTGGGAGTCCCGCACCCCGATGACTAAGATATACAGCAGCAGAGTCTGTGAGTTGGTGCAAGTCAGATCGAGCTTTCGAATATTTAGTCTACGCTCTAAAAAGACGTCAAATAAACTGTACCTGAGTGTTTCGTCGGAAAGTAATTTGGGGATGGGCCTGGTGAAGATCGTGTTGCGAAGCCGGAGGAGGGCATCGCTCGGGTAGGCCGACAGGACCGCCACAGAGCAACACTCTTCGGAGTGATCTCTTCAATCTTGAGGATATCCGTGAAGTTGTTCAACGATAGACCTCAAAATTGTACACCAGAGAGATCGCTTTGTCTCTTTGCGGAAATGGGCATGCGATAATCTCTGCTCGACTGCATGATAGAAAGCCAAAGCTGCGAGTTCCAGGAGTTTACACGCCCGGCGTAGTCGCAAACCGTGAGCGCGTCGTTTTTCATCCTCTTTTCTATCATCTGCTCCGCAAATTTGCCGCTGAGCTGCTGCGTAATCCGTCGGACCAATGTAATGTCTGCTTTGTATAGCAAATGCAGGTCTTCTGGGTTATCCACAACCCAGCTCAGGAGAATCGTCGATTTGGTGAACGCCGAAGCCGGATGGAGGTTTTTCTCCGATTGCTGGAGGTCTCCCTCTCCTTCAATAAAAGTAACTGTTTCTCTTGCATGACCTGTGCATCGTCGACGTCCATCCTCGCCGGAGGCATGATGTCATTGACCCTGCCACTTTCTCTACAGTCTTGAACAAAGAGGAAAACCGCCCGGAGCGCAGCACAACTTGAACGGTCAAGGTGAGATGATCGTCAAAGAATCTCGAGCAGATCTCTTGAAGTGTCTGCAGCTCTGATCGCTCTACTACATGACTTGATTCATCTCTCGGGACGGATTCTGAATGTGGATACGACATATTTGCAAGCTCTAACGAAGTGATAACTTTCAACTCATTCAAGAGCTTACCACAGATATCCAGGTCACTGTTGGTGTAGTCGGGCACCGCCTGTGTGAAATGCAGGTTCGAGATGCCATTGATGGGTACATTGCCCCTTTTGAGCACCGGATCAAGGGCGTAGCTACAATATTTGCACTTGCCTGCCGTAGGAGTTTCGAGATACGGGCGTAGAAGAGGTCCAGACGGCAGAAGATATGATGCGGTTGAAAATTCGATGTTGTTACAACAAACAGCTATACATCTCTCGTCGGTATTCGTTCTCTCTCATAAATAGATACAAAATACTGAAGCCATAATCCACCAGCATAAAGCGATATCTAGTCCCACAGGCCGCATGTCGACCTGAATTTGGACGTGCGGTTCCCAGCCATGGGTTACTCTAGGCCTCCACACGGATGGCCAAAGATTTATTGATTGAGCATGCAAGGTATTAGCGATCGCAAGTGGCTTGCTAGATATTGCCCCGGGCCATGATCTTGCTTACAGCAGTGGCTGGCTGGGTCCCAGTCGCTGATTCCAGGGTTGCTTTAATTGCATGCGGGGAAGGGCATCCGCACTTATGTTCACCTTTACTCTGTAGTGAGGATGAGATTCAGTATGAGAGTGAGGATAAGAGTGAGGATAAGAGTAAGGATAATAGTGAGAATAAAGGTGAAGATAAAGAGACGGGGAAGACGGGGGAGTAGAAAAGGCGGATAGGATATATTCTCATTCGAACTATGAAACAGAACGAAGTATTCTGCCATACCCTCGTATGTGCATCGCTGCTGTGGCATCATGGCATGGCCCTTGAATTCAATCGCGGCCCATCCCACCTGAGTGCGTAAAGACTTTCCAGCTTGAGAGCTTCCCTGGGGACACCTCAGAACGGTCTGGGACCAGCATTCTTGATCTTGCCTTGTAGCTGAACGAGCGGGAAAACTGGCCGTGACAGAGCCGAACTTCTAGCACCTCCAATGGTCCATCACGCAAAAAGTCGACGCGAACTTCACAATCAAGTTTCTACACCCAAACTTGTCGTCCCCTGCACTATTTGCTAGATCGGCATGTTATCATTATGTCTGCCTTGAATCGCAATCGTATTGCTCTCGAAATCCAGGGTACCAAGGGTGAGGAGTATTATGGCCAGATCTGCGCACTAAGCCAGAGAAGAGAGAATGAAAACTTGAAGACCTATTTTAATGAACACCAGAAGCTTATTGGGTTATGATAGAAATAAAATTGAGGAAACAACAGCGTCTTAGACTCTTAGATGCTGCCCTAAACCCGCCTCAGGCCAAACTTCAACTTGGGAGCTTCGGCACGCCAGAGCTGCATTTTGTGATCCAACAAGGTTTCATCCATAATCAAGAATAAACAACAAAGAAGAGCCAACATATTTGCAGCAACACATCAGGCAAGATAGAATTGGCCGCGTATCAGATCCTGACTGTCAACAACTGGGTCATTACCGTTTGCTTGCAGGTCTTCGATGGACAGGCTAGCCGTGATAAACCCTTCAACAAGGATGCTGCGGATGCGGCTGCTACTGCCACCCAACTGGAAGAGATTAAGAAATCCCAGGGCGTTCATAAACTCGATCTTACCATCAGAAAAGGGCAGGAGGAGGCTCTTACTGTAGCAGAAAGGAGTCTTCCGCAGCAGGCGGAAAGAAACAGACCCCTCTCATGTCCAGCGACTACTCTACCCAACGTTTGTGTTGTGTTCTTGTTCATATGTCTCGATGTCTGTCAGTTTCGGTCCAGTGATGACACTCCCAAAGGGTCAATGGACCACGCTTGTTGAGTCCCGCTCATATTTGCCTCATCCTGGGGATGGCACCAAGAAGATCAGTTTGGCAGACTGGGGAGTGTCAAAGTATGATATGAAGACTAGACTTATGGCAATTATGGTGTCTAAGCTCAAAGGATAATTGGGCGGAAGACAACCAAGAGCCGGCTTTGTGGGTCCCGGCGTTCAGATCCGTCTTCCTGTGGCCAAACCTCTGGTGGTGAAAGCTTTGACTACGTGTGGTCGGCCCCCGACGCTGCAATCAATCCAAAGGGAATATTCATAATAGCAGTACTCGGCTTCAACCGCTTTTCGTATCCAAAGTTACGCCTAAACCAGCAACGCTGCTCAGCTCACACATCTACAAGAAGTCCGGAACGGAACCGTTCCCCTTTTGGCCAATACGGGCGAACTCGGCCATCCAGAAAACTGGCTGGTCTTCTGCAAAGTTGTCAAACAAAGACTACCCAGCGGTGATTGACCTGAATATGGCGGGAACCTGGCCGAGCCTGCAGGGGGCAATACAAAGCCTGTTGGCATCACAAGGCCTATATCCCTGATGCATTCATCCAAGACCACTGATTGTACTTTGAGCAGCAGATCCTCTTAATTCTTCGAGAGCTCCGTGTCAAAACCTTTGTCATTCCCGTCTATTCGGAGATGTTCGCAGATAAGCCCACTGGCGGGCAACAATTCAAGAGTTGGTGTGATGTTGGTGAACCCGAACACAGCCTCGCTCTACCCCGGTCTTCATACTCAGGCCGCCACGAACCCGACATTCGACTTCGAGTGAAAGAACAAGGGCAGATACGCGTGGTGTAGAATGTTTCCGTTACTAGTACCGGGCTTCAGTGCGTCCAAGATAATACGGACAAAATCATGCGTGACGCTATCGAGACTTCGTTGAACTGCGGCTTCAAGACAGCTTGCGCTAATTTGCTCAACGGTGTGGCAGACGCAGGCAACTTCATCTATTCCGACACAGGGACCCTGGTTTTCGGAGACCTGAAGCTCAACAACTTTAGAGACGTCCTCGCAACAATTAGCTACGTTGATCTTAAAGACGGCCTTCATTGACATCAATATCGCTGTACTCAGACAGATCGGGCCATCCACAGGCAAGAAGGCAGATCCAGTTATCCATAATTCCACCGTCACCAGCAACCCAACACACACCACTTAGAGTACAACGTGCAGTCACGTTAAACTCCCACGCTGGAACGGCCCAGCCTATGCCGCAGGGGTATAACATTCTGCCAAATCCCATGGCCTCTGATGAGGTCGTCGTCCAGCTGCTCCTGACGGGAGGGTAGGAATGCCTTTTCAGCGGCAGTGCCTACACCTGGAAGTCCCGCACTGAGCTCGACCAGAAGGAACGCACTGAACACCAGAGTGAAGCAGCGAAGACCGCGGAACGGAAAGTTGGAGAAGACACACCCAGCAATAGCACGGTCACAGTCAGCGCTGGCGCTGATAGCGTCAACGGCATAGGAACACCGCCGATAACGATGACCCCTTTAGTCAGGGAATTCAGCCAGTCGCTGATCAAGGAAGAGCTGCAATGTGGCGCTGCGAATCGGAGAAGAACTAGTCCATCTTCCGCGTGGAGGTAGTTCCCCCAGCCAAAGATGTCGAACAAGACACTCCGCTTCCCCATTCCGACTAATGGCTTGTTCAATGTCACGCTCGAGGCCAAGCAGGCCGCGTCCTTCCTACTTGAGTGTAGCCTGATTGGGGGCATCAGGTATGCTGCCTTTTTTCCTGTTGACTTTGGCGCCCAGACAAGAGAACAAATCCATTTATCGGAATGCCCTTAGACGACCCCACATAGAACAGTCAATTCAAAAGTCTTCACATTGCTTTTCCTCGTCTTGCTAATCTGAGGTGTCTAACTGCAGCGATAGCTCCAACTCCAAGTTGGTACCAAACCTTGAGAACACACGCACAATGTGGCGACGTGATCGGTAGTCATATTCCACGCATAGATGGATATCTCGCTCGATGAGAATGTCAACACTGGTCCATGATATTTGTGCCGCGGGATTTGCGATGCAAGACTGACCTCAGGCGGCTGGACTTGGTTCGTCAAAGCGTGGGTGTTGTCAACCTATTGCAATTGGCTGGGGTGTTTTCGCGAGCGACCACCGGCGTCTCTGATGGTTGATATCGCGCCGGATGTGTTCTCGGTGGCCAAGGTCCTTCCATGTTGATTTCTCTATATCGTTGATGGCTTTTTCGCAGGAGCTTTCTGTTCCGTCATACTCAGGTACATTCAAACGTATCACGGGTAAGGCACGAGGCGGTGGAGAATGGGGCAGAAGCTGTCAGTCCCACTACCTCAAGTTTAACCGCTCAGCCAAGCCCGAATACTTGGCTGACGGGATTGGGGGACCCGTGAAAAGCGCGCGCCGATCTACTGGTGTCTGAGCCGGCCCCCTGCTGTACGTACTCCTTTTTTTTTTTTTTTCCCCGCATCCGTTTTCAACCCAAGAAATCCTCCACAGGCTGAGCTTGAGATTACCTTAGCCAATCAGACAACTGGGACCCGGCGAAAGCTCGCATCACGTGGCCGAAGCCGCAGGTCGAAGTTTTTGGGGGAGAATTTTCGACCTGCGTACGTAAGTCGTGCGTCACACAGTGCGCTGCCAGCTTTAAGTGTGGTGTGGACTCTTATCGATAACACCACGTGACATGTCTTATCAGTGACGCACTGCTATCCGCTGCTGGGCGGCTGTTGCCGAGCCAACTCGCTACAACCAGCTCGCGCTTATCCACAGACATCAACAATCTGTCAGGAACAGTGGATTGACTCCTACATCATCATTGTCATCGGTCGGTCGCATGCAACCACGCAGCAATTGAACTCTGTCACCAGTCAATCGCAGGTCTGCACCAATGTCCGTGGCTCCAGAATATCACCAATCCACAACAGCGCGCGGCCAAATCATCGAAGCCTGGATCAAAGACGTCGCCGCCGCCGTTGCCTTCACCGAAGCCCATCCCAACGCGTCGCCCCTAAGGTGCCCTCCTACTGAATTCCGGGCGCCTTGCCCAACGACGCCTTCATCGAGAAAGCGGAAGAGAACTTGGCCAACCTCAAAATCGCCGACGAAGCCCTCCCCGACCGTCCCACGCATATCCGACACCCGAGCCCCCCTTGCTACCATCGACGGCAACATGGACCGCCCGAGGCCCGCAAAGACACCCAAAGCTGCTGAGAAGCGAGCCCCTCGAGCGAGATCAAAAGCCCCGACAGCGAATGCCCGCCCGCGACGTGGAGCAGTTCCACCGCCAGACGACAATGAACACGAGTCGAATGCCGAGGTGGAACTGTCTCAAGAGGAGGAGTTTGCGGACGAGGACGACGAAATTGAGCAGCTGACCCCCCGGAGGAATATGCCAGCCAGGCCACGACAGACCAGGACCCAGAGACAGCCCGCATCATCAACCGCTGATACGGCAGCGATGACAGCGCCACCGCCAGCCTGGCCTCTTCGCCAGGCCTCTGGTTATGCTGCAAGCTTCGATGCGGTACGCTTCGAGCCCCCCCAGAGCGCACCTCAGGGCTCCGAAGCGAGCAGCCGCCGATCGCGGAGCCCTGTCAAGAGCATCGGCGACCTGCTTTTCGCAGAGAAGCCGGTAGAGCACGTCCCTCTAGATCCCAGACAATTGCCCCCAGACATGCACCCGCTCCTGACCGAGCTCGGGGACATCGCGGACAGTCCCAGAGTCATCCCATCCAACATCTTTTCCGAGGTCGTCACTGAAGCCGAAAGCTTGCACTACTTCCAGAGGATCAAGGAGGAGCACATGTGTTTGGCGGATGTAACCCAGGACACGAAAACTGCTCTGCGAGAGTTGCAAAGTCTCTGTGCCATCGTCCGGGAATCGAAGCGCGCAGCGACTGGAAGCTACTCGGAAGCCCACTGGAATGGCCGCGTGCATTCTCCAATGCTGGTCACGGCGATCGAAGCAGATCAGCAGGCTGACGACATGGCCATCCAGGTGTTTGATACAACGACTGCCCGCATTGTGCCAGCCTGTATCCCGCGCCACACAAATGGTGCAAATATCCAAGCCAAAATGGTTGACTTTTGCATGGTTTTATCCTCGCCTGTCTTCAAGGATATAGCCCGAACCGCCGCAGCCCCGCAAGTGGAGAAGCCTCCGAAGGGGCGTGGCAAACGCAAGCCTGCCCAGGGCTCAGCCAGTTCCAGCGCAGCAACATCGTCCATCTCCGGCGTCGACTCCGTCTCGGAGGCAGGCTCTGGTGTCGGCGGCGGCGACAGCGCCGCCACCAAGGAAGTCAAGTTGCCCGAAACCATCAGCCATTCCGAGTACTACCCGCTCCGCCTCAAACCCATTGCTGTGAGCATCGAGACAAAGCAACCCGACACCTCCGGCAACAAGGCCAAGGCTCAGCTCTCGGTGTGGCTCATGGCACACCTGCTGCGTCTGCACCAACTGACTGGCACTGCTACGCCCGTCCCTCTAACCTTTCCCCTGATCTCTATTATCGGGCCGCAGTGGCAGTTCTCCTTTGCCGTCGAAAGAGAGAACGACATCGTAAGTTATCCTCCGGTCTCACCTGCTATTCGTATACTTACCCTGTCTCGCCCCAGGTCGTCTTTGAGTTTATTCGTGTAGAAGGCACGGGGTCGTTGCATGGATGCTATAGGATTCTGGCCCTACTCAGAGTCTTGCGGCGTTGGTGTATAGAAGAGTTCCAGCCGAGGTTGATGCAGCTACTCGGTTCATAGTCACCACAATGGATTTTGCGTATTTCCTGCTAGGTCTGTGACTGGGTAAATGTGTATGTTTCTGCAGCCAATGAGACAATTGTCCTGCCGCCACAACTGTAGGAATAAGAACTGCATGGCGTTCAACGACGGCACACTATTCCCCCGTTTCCACCCTCTCAATCAGGTGTGTTGATCTCCATTTCGCTGTGCACGGTGTCCGTCTTGCACTGCAGACGCCATCTCCAACGAGCATCGCCTAAGTGTGTCGCCCAAGTGATGAGATCCTGACAGACGTGCTGCATCAATTCTGCCATCAAGCTTTCCAACCCGAGACGCTGGATGTATCGTGGTCTAGGATCTCAACCTTGAGCTTGACGATCGATATTCCCCGAACTAGCTCTATTCAGAGGCGCTGGGACCGATGTGTGGCGTCCGTCCATTTTCTCGTCACACGCAGCTCTTGTCATTTGTTCATTTGACATCTTCGCGCTTAATCACCGGATCAAGCCGACTGTCCATCTAGTATTCCATGATCTAGAACCATGGATCTTCCGCATTTGCATTCTGGGCAGCCTGCCCCACGAGACCTTATCAGGCCCTTGTGACTGGATTTACTGGTTGTCGAGCGGCCTGATTTTCATGCAATTCCTTTTGGCCCACTACTTCTTTCATATCAATCTCGTTATGTCCCATGGACCCCGGACCCCTTGCGGTGGTTATGCACGTTACCTTTGATATTCTGAACCCGGGTTATTGGGGAGCTATCTGCGGTGTGATGAAGTCGTCCATGCGAAAGTTTCCTGGCAACGACATGCATCTTCAGCCTTTAATAAGGAGACGCAGCAGCCGTTTTTTATGTGGGCGAATTCTATGCGTAGCGAAAGGTCTTGCGAACTCTGACTGTCCGATAAGGCAGCGAAAACCCCCAGGGAAAACATGACATCATACCCCTTTAGTCTATAACGGCAGTAATGGTGATGCTCTCAATAACGACGGGCGCAAATGCCAAGCTAGCGGCTAGAATCACCATTCACGTCGCCGCGGCTGCAGAAGATACAAAGTTTGAGAGTCAGCGGACCAGGCTGCAGGATCCGTCGATCAACTATGAGAAAGCGCTTCTCAACCGCTTCCTGACTATTATCCTGCGTCCCAAAATCTCTTAGCCCATCTGCTCTCGTTCAATCGCTTCGCTCTGCCTCTGTGGAGACGAAGAAGGCTAGTTAGATCTTCATTTCAGGGTGAGCTAGGTGTGGAGGAGTGGAAGTCTACACATCACAGGCACCCCACCAACCACCCAGGATATCGCTCAAATCAACAGACGAATGCAGCCCCTGGAATGTATATCGGCCAAATGACCGTCGCTGCTGACATGGATCAGAATTCCAAGTACAGCGCCGACCTCGATGCCCGTCAAGTGAGGTGAGGCTGAATCAGGAGCCCATTGACCCGATCCTGCTGAATCCACAGGCACAGACAGGATACCGAGCAGGGTGCTGATTATTCACCAAAACTCCAGGTCGACCAACAGCTTCAGCCACCGACATTATCACCCGAGGGTTGCGCGCTTCTCATGATGTGGGTGGCGCCCTCGATCCCTGCCCAGCGGGATTTGAATCAAGGTACAGTAAGTGCGACGCGGAAACGATCCACAGAAAACACCTCATATCTGTAGCCAGCGAATGAGGCCCGTCTCCTCATGTTGCCCTGGTATCGCCGACAGTGCCGATGCGTTGAAACAATCGAGGAACCTACGCCATCGACGGAAAATGCAATGACTTGTTCTGGAGATTGCTTCCTGAATGGGTATGTTGCGATATCTATAGAGGAAACTTATGTATAGGGGACTGGTAGATTCTGCGTGGCAATGGTCTCTGGTAATGAGTCGAAGAGAGAGAGAGAGCGCTTGGAGTTGGGGTTCAGGCTGAGTTGTAGTACAGCAAAGCAGAGTGTTTATTTTGTCTCATTTTCCGCAGCTCGGAAAATTGGCTGGGCCACGCAATCAGAGGGGCACAGTCTCTTACGGTTTAGTCCCCCTCGCAATGCCAACCGCTCTGGTATCATGATGGCCTGGACGCCCCCATTCGACGAGACGTACCACAGTCGGCGGCTAAGCAAGCGAATCGCAGAACATGAAGCGAGGCCACGAATCCATACCGTAAGTGGAGTATGCCAAGGCTTGTCTGCAGAGGGACGACCCTGCGGTAAATGCGAAATTTGATCAGTGCCTCGGGCTGCGGTGTTCTCTGCGCCATCAGTATGAAAGGTCATGGATGTTCCCGGAATAAAATCTTGGGCATACAGAAGATAACATTGAGTCAAGCTAGATATCTCACGTAGAAGTTATCCTAACACCTCAAATAACACTGCCTGCTTCCTTCGCCACGGTCACAAAGGCTTCGTAGTAGCCCGAAGTCCGCTGCTTCACAACTGCCGCGAACCCCATCTGTGCCCGGCAGAGCCTCACCTTTTTCATCCTTGCGAGAATCTCAGGAAACCGACTTTCTTTCACCTTGTGGCCAGCCAACCACTGCCGACAAGACTCACCAGCGTGGTCTCGCCTCAAGCTCAAAGTCAGCCCAAACACCGTGTCTACCTTGGAGACCACAATTCTCGGCACTCTTCATGGACGCTAATCAGACACCGAGGCGCACCCTGAGGATCTCCGTTGCGGAAGGTCTACAATCCCTGACCCATCGAGCGTACAATACTTCGACCTGAGCCACGTAATATCTCTGTCTCGCTTTTGGCACTTCCGTCTTTCGTAGTTCATTGTCCGATTCTTATCTTTCAACGTTGTGCAGTTGCTTGCAACTTTAAGAGTCCGCATCGTCTTTGAAACGGTGGCCAAATTTAATATGATAGTTCGGACTGGGGAGCAGAACTAGTAGAACACAAGAAGTACGACAGAGGATGTTGACAGATCTGGGGAGGAGACCGAGGCTGGAATCGGACGACCCTGAGAATCATCACATGGCGAAGGAGTGTGGTTTACTTACTTATAATGATTCGTTCGGCTTGAAAAGAATGTCCTATCAACACAGAACAGAAGGTTTTCAGACTGCATGACGAAAGCAAACATGTCATATTGTTAGGAGACCCGAATTTGATTGCCCATATCAATACCAGCGAAAACCTCGTTGGATTTTACATCATTGTTGACACTCTTCTCATCCACCAATGCCTTTATGTGCCAGAACTGATCATGGAAACGCTTTCGTCACCGTGAACAGAAGCATGGGCCCGATCCGTCGGGCTACTTCCGGGTCGAATCACGGGTCCGGCAGCCGGAGTGGGTCCGTCCCCGGCGCTACTCTCCGGACTCTGTCCGACAGCCGGTCTACTTTCTACGCATGTTTATCTTCCGAGGTTTCCTCCTATTATAGCCCAAAACAGGCTGCGAAAGACAATAAACATCGCCATCACGCGCTGCATCATAAGCATCCAGCTCATCGAAAAGTTCCTGCCACAAGGCCTCAACATCTCAACCCTGTCCCCAGCCATTAAAACTACACGACCCGGTCTTCGGCTGTCAAATTGATCAAATGCGAGAGTTTCACTCTTCTGGGGACTTGCAGAGGCAAAGTCACATGAGACCAGTACTTCCTTCCTTGCACTGCAGCAACAGGGCAAGCGCGATGGCTGCCTCGCTGCCTCACAGCACCCCGCCATCAAAAAAGGGAGGCATCTGCCTCCACTGGCTTACCCCGCCTGCCCTACCTGCCGTTACCCTGTACTTCGTCCATCCAACTCGCGACTGCTCTCCCCCAAACATCACTGCCGCACCACCTCATGATTCCAATCGCATCCTCCCCACGTCGCCAATTATGCGCCAACGCCAACGCATAGCGAAGTCGCAAGACTAGAAAGCTGCGATTGACAAGTTCATTGAGCACTATGGCGACTTAGCTGATCAGACCGAAGACATCGCCGACCGATACTTCGACCTCGAGAGCAAGCTCCCCAGCGACGTCGACGTAGTCCAATTTCGCTGCAACCTACCACTTCAACTCGCCCACGCCGTTGTTCTCCATTCTTCTGCAAAGGACTTTACCCTCACGGACAGCCAAAGCCCGGCAAAGCTCAAGAAGGCGTGCCAGACCTGGAAGATTGAGCCGTGTGTATGCATCTTTCTACTCGACGCAGCTCGTTTTGGTCGACGGTTTTTCCAATCGCTGCATAATCTTTCCCAGCATTGCAACGAGTGGGCCAAGGCAATCCAAGCACTCCTAGACTGCGCGCAAGCTCGCCGCAAAGCCTCAACTTCCCTCGGCTGTGGCGTCGCAAAAGACGCGCCGGGCGTCATAGGCCACGACATCAGAACAGCAACACAGCGCATCTCTGGGATCAACCGCGTCGATTCCAAACCTACACGCAAGAAGACCGTCGCAGTATCCAACGTTGAGAACCCCATCACCCCACACGATCGAAAGCAGGAGGGCATCTCTGTAGCCGAAGAAAGTCACAACGGGCGCAAAAACCAAGGGGCGATCGAGAATCGACCGATTGAGACAAGCTCTGCTGCTGGCAATATCAAGTCACACGGAAACAGCCCCGAAGACGAGGCCATCCCCGAAGCCGAAGACCTCGAGCCCGAAAACGAGGCCAATCACACCGAGTCCCAACGCGAGGACAGCCACATCGAGCCCGAAAACGAGGACAGCCACATCGAGTCCGAAGACGAGGACAGCCACATCGAGTCCGAAGACGAGGACAACCACATCGAGTCTGAAGACGAGGACAGCCACATCGAGTCTGAAGACGAGGACAGCCACACCGAGTCCCAACGAGAGGCCGATCTTGACGGCAAGGACAACACCTCTGAAGGCGAGACCTACGTCGAGGCCAACGACTACATCCTTGACGACCTTGACGACCAAGGCGCCTCTGTGAGCAACACCGACGCCACCAGAGGACAAGCCGGGACCGAGGGCAAAGACGAAGTCGTTGGAGAGCAGTCCGTGGCCGAGGAACCTGACGCTCAGGCGGGCGGAAGCTTCGACGAACAGAGCTACAATTCCTTCGAGTATTTCAGGCACGCCGAGGTAAGTTACACTGACAGATGCCTGTTCGACACCCTGCAATGGCTGACTCTCCCCTCCGATAGCCCTCCCTCGTCGAGGACCATGAGCCGGAACCCTTAAACGTCGTACCAGATAATACGTATCTCTACTACGAGCCCGACTTTACCTCAGGTGGTTCCTACGACTCTGATAATATCCCTGAAGCCGACAGCGATGCCGATTCGACTGGGCGCCCTTTGTCGCAGATAATCGTGAACAGCACCCATTCGTTCGAAGGAGACTCAGACATCTTCACGCTTGAACTACCCATGATGGAGTCTCCGCCGCCCTCCGAAGCCGGCTTGCCGTCGAACTCTGTCACGAGCAACATGCTTAATATCGGCATCGTCAGTGAGACGCCCTCTGCTCTCGATTCGGACAACGTAGACAGTCGGAAGCGAAAAGGTCGCTCATCATCCCCAGACCGGCCATCCAGACGGATACGACACTCCACAGACGGCAGTCCACTGCAAGATTACTACAAGACGCTGGCACCCGCCACATGTTTGACTGGCTGCGTGATTTCGGCAGCGCTGAACGGTTTTTCCAGCCTTCTACACAATTCAACGTTTGTCGCAGATAGCCCAGCTTCCAACATGCAGGAGCCGACAGACCGAGCACAGCACAGGATTGTCTCTGTTCTGACTCTGCCTCAGAACAAAGAGACTACAATCGTCATGCCAGTGGCCAAGAAAGGGCACTGGAATGTGGCAGTGGCAGTCATCAACAACAGTCGAGGAAGCATCGACCTGTACGACTCAATGCCAAGCGATGCTGCAAGTCGAAACGCCCTAGTCAATGAAGCAAAGGAAAGGCTCCAGAAGCTGATTACAGCAGCTGGCTCCAGGGACCCGGCACTCAAACAGCGGTTGCAGGAATTGGACTGGACCAGCCGCCAACGCCACAGTACCATGCAACAGAATGGGCAAGACTGCGGCGTCGCCGTTATCTTGCACTGTCTCCATACATTCGCGGGCATGTCGCCGCCAGTAACAACAGACTGGCTTCTATGGCGTCGAATCATCGCTGTGTTTCTGTTTACCCATGCTCAAGAGGAATCCGGTGTCGACGGGGTCAATCAGCCCGGAAGGCCTCCAAGTGCCACCGTTGTTGACGACATTCGAGCTGCACACGCAAAAGCTCTGTTCCTGTCGTCAAGGCCCCAAATAGATTGCAGCGCTCCTGCAGGTCTTCATCCTCTGATGGTAACATCGGATTCGCCGTCCTCCACAGGAGGAGCCATGTACCACACGGACGCCGTTGCGGGATTCATCACAAGCCTTCAGAGCTGGGCCTCGGAGCTGTCAAAGCGTACCACTGAAGCCTTGACAAGTATGAAGGAGGCGCGCCAGCTGACGATGATGACGATCGCCGACATCAACAACCTCATCTTCCGCATACGCACGAAGGGAAAGGAGCACCAGAATGACGAACAGGAGAAAGCTCGAGTCAAGGCCAAGACAATCGAGCAGCGACTTCGTCTCACCAGAGAGACGCTCGAAAAGCACGAGAGCTCCGTCGGCGACATCGAGATCGCCAGCCTCGCTCGGCAGCGAATTGCCATTCTTGAAGACGAAGAAAAAGAGATTGTGCACCAACAAGCTCGACGGTCGAACGAACGAAAGGCCGTCGAGAGAGGCCTTGACGCCATAGAGATGGAACTGAAGGAGTTGAAGAAAGAACTGGAGAAAGCTGGCTGATACTAGCACGGGAGATGGCCAAACGAACCGTCGACATCGTTACAGTTTCTCGAAACAGGAGCATCTGCATAACTGGTTGGAGCAATATGGGATTTTCATCTGCATGATTAAGCAAGAGGGCGGAACAAGTGGGTGCAAAGGAATTACATTGTTCTTGGGCGTGTTTATTGTACTGGTCGGTCATCTTGATATCCATTAATAAAGACTTATTGGTCGACTTTCAGCTATGGTTACGAGGCACTAGTGTCTATGCAGCGGGATGAGACGCCAGATTTCCTTACATGGCCATCTATATTGTCCTAGCTGCATTCATCCCATGGTCCTCGGTTCTCAAGCGCCGGAATGAAGGTCTTGGGGCGACACAGCACGGGTAATCCACAACGTAGGTAAGGAGGGGCGTGAGGTGAGAGTGAACATGGTGGAAGCTCAAGGTTGGCTCGCTAGAGGACCAACTTCCAGTATGATGGAGCATGGTTTCTAGAATGTTCAGAGGGCAAATTATGGCATCAGATACAAAGATGGCTGGTCTGCTTGTGTCGCAGCACTTTCGTTGTTCTATTGGAAGCATCTCAACCTGGGAGAGGCATCAATTGCACTACACACTGCTTCTGGGCCATTGCCAAAGCGGCAGGAGTAGGTGGCCTTGGACTTCAACGGCTAGGACATACCTATCGACTTTGGTGAGGACCATGTTGATGGTATGGTCTGCGGCGTGCAAGGTGCCGGCCTACACGCTGCAGTTCAAGCCTTGGGCGGGCGCAGCACCTTTGTGGACGCCTTGCACACCACAGCTGCACAAAGTCCCCTGACGCCAGAGATTCAACAATTCATCAATCCGTCCATGGAACTGCAGGCCGGGAGATAACTAGCAGCGAAGCAGGTGACGAGGCACAGGAGGGCGGTGGGTGAGTTCTTGCCTCCCGAGAGATACGGACATCACGACGGGAAGGGTTCAGGGGTCGCTAATGCCTTGAGAAGAAAGCGTCTGCCGTAGAAGCAAGCCACTGTATCCTCGCACTCGCGAGCATCGGTCTGGCTGGGCGCACCAGAGGGATGCACGGCAGGTGCAGCAGGTAAAAGTAGGCGTTTATCAGTTGACAGGTGTTAAAGTTTCACAGGTAGTGACATCGGCAGGTAGTCCAATCGTCAGGAGGTAAGGCACCTACTGCACACGATACGACCGGAGTCAAGTCTGCGGCGCGTCTCAATGTGGTGGGGGATGGCCTCATCAGCAGGTCGCCTTCAGACGCACCGAATTAGATGCGTCCGAAAAGCCACACTGCATCTTGTAGGTTCGGCAGGAACAACTGGCGTGCGCCGCACGTTTTGGTGGGCAGAACGTCGGGCAGGTCTGTCCACTCGTTGGCGTTGCGTCCCTTCCCGCGGTTGATGATTACATGACGTAGGGTTCTGGCTTTTTTTCCGCCACAACCCTGCGTCACCAGACCGTTCTGGCTTTTTTTCGCTGGAAGGGACGGGCCGAGCCGACACCTACTCGTAAGACCCCTTCCCTGGCGATAATGCGGTGCCTTGAAGATCCTAGAACCCCACAAACCCAAGACGGCCAATCAGCGAAGCCCTCCGACTTCCTTGTGTAGTACAGTGTAAGGTGGGTGCGTCACCTCCTGCCGATTTCACCACCTGCTGATTTTAAACACATGTTAATTTTAAACACATGTTAATTTTAAACACATGTTAATTTTAAACACATGTTAATTTTAAACACATGTTAATTTTAAACACATGTTAATTTTTAACACATGTCAATTTTCAACACATGTTAACTTTTCACACATGTTAATTTTTAACACCTATTTACTAGCAACTGCCCACTTGCACCTACTGTGCCTACTTGCCTTACAGATTTCTTCGCAATACTTACTGGACTTAACATATAGACCAGAGAAGCGACTTCTAGCTGGATGCGGAGGACGATACACACGCTGAACAAGAAGCAGCATGCGACTCAGATGGACGAGAACGGTTTCCAGCGGGCCTAAGGTGCGCGCCTATAGGATCATCGCCGGGCTGGAAGGTTGAAGGATGAGAGGACCTGGGTGGGCAATGGGGCCGTCGTGCTCAAGTGGAGAGTCCAATCTGCCGTGGGAGCATCCGTTCCTAATCGCCGAAAAGGCCGGCCATTTGGGGGTCTTTTCTCATTGAACAATGTCAACGCCGTTGCTGACAAGACTCTCGACTGCGTTGAGCAGTGTCCTTTTCAAAGAAACGTCGCGATCGCATTGGTTGGTCAGTCGTGTTAGAGGGGCGCGTTTGTTGTGGTGCGTGGTTCTAATGCGTGTGGTGGTGGTGATGGTGGTGCCAGGAATCTGGTAAAGGACCTGAAGGAACTGCTGTGGCGCTGAGACTGCCTGTCTGTCAAAGATGTGGCTTGATTAGCGGGTCCCCCTCGGCCTGCGACAATACAGCAAATAGGAGAGCCGCACCAGCCTTCGTACCATCTCCCCAGGATGGTACGCAGCCTTGGAATCAATCACAGCCTTCTAATCTAAGTGTCCGTTGCTGCACATGGTAGGAGCCAGCTACGTGCCCCTGTGAGGCTACAGGCAGGCAGGGCGAAAACGAATGTGACGATTTTCACATTGAAAACCGTCACATTCAATTTCTCGGACACTAACCCAGGCCCCAGAGCCCAGCTTAATCAATCGAAGCGCGGTGACGCGTCGGGTGCCATCTGAACAGTCGAATGCTCTCTGCGACGATGACCATCTACACAAAACCTGTCTCCGCAAGGTACCTATACGAGCAATAGCCTGAGATGTCTCGTTCCACTAGCACTGCACCTACGCCATCGCATCTGTCGACTGACGTTGAGTCGACTAAAAATATCCGCATTCTTTTTTCTAGAATGCAAACGAGCTCACACTGTAACAATCCTCTTCCGGCTGCATTATATCCCGCGCAGCCAGTCTGCTGATGATGCTACCTGAGACGGAAGGCTTACTGTATTGTTCCAAGACAAGGCCGAGATGTGGTTACTGGTGATAATTTGCTTGAAGGTGTTGTGGAGCGGTTCTAACTCCTGCCTAAGGTAGCAAACGGTGGAAGTCCCGATTGGCGTTCCAAGCGTACGCGTCCTTCCTGTAATTACGCGTACCATCTCCTCACGATGGTATAGAGCGCGTACCATTCTCTTCACCATGGTACGGAGCGCGTACCATCCTCTCATGATGGTATGGAGCGCGTACCATCCTCTCATGATGGTATGGAGCGCGTACCATCCTCTCATGATGGTATGGAGCGCGTACCATCCTCTTATGATGGTACGGGCCTCTGGTTGGCTGCAGCCCCATGGAGACGCCATGGGACGTGGCTCTCACCGGTCAGGTTAAAGAATGCATGGAGCGGCGCGGCGCGGCGCGGTGACGGAAGACGGGAGCTTCTGCCGTGTCAGCTTGGCCGGGGCTCACTGCCAAAGATTGGGAATTGCATAGGTAGTTTCTACGTCGCGTCGTTGGCTTCTTTCGCGCCATGTGACGGCGAATCTCTCCCCGTGTATGTATTGACTGACTCAACGTGGACCTTGCGTGAACTACAACACTGTCTAAGCGAAGTTGTGGAGGAAGCGGACCGGGGTGAGAATGGATGCAACTCGATGCTTGGGTCGTGGTCTGCATAGGACTTTGTGATGCTTCGCTTGGAAGTAAGGTGAATTTTAGGTACTCGTCCTCCTCAGCGTGCCTTTGGCAAATATTTCGGATCGACCTTGTGGTTGGCATGGAGATGGAAACTTGTGTAGTTCCAACTCTTGCCTGACTAGGTACAGGTGTTGCTCGAGAGGGTGGATTGTCGCCCCTCTACTTCCGGATCCTGGCGCGCTCGTAAACCCACCTTCGCCGCTGCACAATGGTCCTTCTCGACGCTGGCTGTCACTTTGAGCTTCACTCCAGGCTTAAGCAGCCCTGATATTACAACCTGTTATACATAGATAACAGTTAACTAACCTACTTAGGTAACAGGCAGCTAGGATAGGATATTTATACTACAGGATTATAGGAATAATAGGGACTTACTTAGGAATAGAAGAACTATAGTATAAGCTATATAATAATAAGGAATAAGTATAGATAAAGGACCTATAATAAGTACTTAATAGATATTAGAATAAGTACTTATTCTACTTTAGAATAAGTATTTATAATAATAAGGAAATAGTACTTATAAATAGTAGGACTATTTATATAAGGGATCTATATATAGGATAACCTTAAGCTTAGCTTATAGTTAGATTTCTATAGCTCTTTAGTAATTAACTTAGTATTTATCCTTATAGATATTTTTAGCTTATTTTTATTATAAATTACTTATTAAGTCTAAGACTAATTACCTTAGCCTCTAAAGACTTAATCTACTATTAGCTTATAACTTATAACTTAGATTATAACCTTAGTATACTATTATAATATATTAATCCTTAGTTTCTATTAGTAGACCTTACTATTAGATAGCTAATTATAACACTTTAATTACTTCTATTTAATAAGTTAATTATTAATACCTATTAATAGTAAAATAATAAATATATCTTTATATATCTCTACTAAGTTACTTACTCTAGGGACCTCCTCCTCTTTATAGTAGCTAGTCTAGAACTTAGCTAAAGAACTTAAAGGAGCCTCTATAGTAGTAGACTCTAATAATAAGGTAACCTTAAAGAAAGATATTTATAAATACCTTTAAACTAAAGTTAAGAAAAGAGATAATAATATTACTAAAGTCTAGACTATATATAATAATACTACTATAGAACTTTAAAACTTTAAAGAAATAATATAATAACTAGGAAATAGCTCCTAGTATATTATAGACCTAGAAAATAAAGTTATCTAACTTAGAGGATAAAATAGTAATACTAATATTAAAGAACTCTAAGAAGAAATCTATATCTTATATATAGCTACTAATATTATTATAACCCTTACTAGAGGATAATAGAAGCTTAAGCTTAGTACTTTAATTACCTATAATAGTACCTCTAAATA